AAGAAAAAAATTTGTCCTTGTATTATACAAAGATTTCTTAGATAAAAAAGCATTAGGTTTAAAAATGAAAAAACATATAACATAAAAGAAAAAAATGCACAAATCGGATTTCATCAAAATTTGAAACTTCCCATCATGTGTAACTACAAGAATGGGAAGTTATACTCATGTATGTATAATATGTCAAAATACATTCTACTGTCATGTATAACTAAAAAAAAAACAAATAAATTATAAAATGTGAAAAAACATAGGGAATTGCTAAATGTAAGGGATTGCTTAGCTTAAAAAATTGAATCTTTCATTTTTGAAATATTTTATAAATGAAAAGATAAGAGACATATTAGAGGAAATGGTCCCCTTTCTCATAAAGAGCTTATATCTAGAATTAATAGACTACTCATTAAGAAGATAAGCAATTTGAAAATAAGAGTGGGAGAGAAAGACATAAAAAAGAAAAATAAACAAATGTCAAAAAAACATTACAAAAACATTTAACTTTACTAAAAATTAGGAAATACAAATCAAAACCTTAATGAGGTATTGTTACACATACTATAGAGTGGTTAAAATTAAAAAGACTGCTCAAATCAAGAGTTGGTTAATGGTGAGATTGTAAAATAGCACAGTCACTTTGAAAGCTATTTTGACAATTTCTAGTAAAGCAAAATATTTAATTAACAATAATCAGCCAATTCCACTTCTAGACACTTACCCAGGAGAAATGAACACATATGTCCACAACATATGTGCATGTTCATAGAACTAGAAAGTGGAATAAACCTACCTCTACTTGTTTATGCATTCATATGTGACTAAGCATTGATCCATTCATACAATATGGTCCTACCAAGCAACAAAAAGAAACTATGGATACTCTCAATGTTGCTGAATCTCCAAATTATTATGCTGAGTGAAAGAAGCCAATAACAAAGACATTACATTATATAACTTCATTCATGTGTACAAAATTCTAGAAAAGGCCCAACTATAACAGAAAGGACATGAAATATTGAAAGAGTTGGGAGCAGGATATTTACAAAAGGACACAGGGAAATTTGGGGCAATGGCAATTTCCTGCACCTTTATGACATGTATGTGACTGTATACATCTGCCACATCTCTTCTAAACATTCATTTAAAATAGCTAAATTTTTCTGGGTATATTATAATGCATTAACAGTGATTAAAACCCCAAATGTATTATTAATATTGCCACAATGAACAGCTATGAGGAATTTTATTTAGCTCGAAGTGATGGAAGTACACGGAATACTCCCCAGAATTCTTGACTATGTTTAGGTGATGAGGGCACATGTCCAGTGGCTTCCAAATCTCCTATTATTTGTGACTCAGTGTCATTTATAGCTATATTGGCTCTGAAGAGAAGCTCTGTAGCCCAAAGCAGAAAGATTCCTACTGTTCCAGGGAGCCTGGACTTTTGTCTGAGTTGAACTAGTTGTTTTCAACAAATTTTTTAAAACTAGTAGTATTTATGTATGTTGGGCATTCGGCTGAATTTATTCAACAATGTTTTATTTGGCCACTTGTGTTGATGAATATGCATGTGTGTGTGTATGTATATATATATATACATATATATATATGTATATATATATACATACACACACACATGCAATAAATATTTATGCACACAGATCTATCCCAAGGAGAGCTTCTTATATGTAACACTGTGCATATTCAAATGAGGTAACTACCGACAAAAGCAAAGAAACTAATTATTTAGTTTATATAGCCTCAGCACAAGTAAATATGCAATTTTCATCAGTGAATTTGAAATAATTGAAAACCAGTTAAATAAATTTTTCCACCCCTAACTATTGCTTATCCTTATGGTTCTATCTACCCATGGCATCAAGTATCTAATCCTTAAAGAACTTGTCACAAATTTCTCATTATCTGATTTTATGTCACTTGCTCTTCAAAGTTAAATTAAAACCAAAGAAACCAGGTATCTTATAGTTTTTGTGGTACAATAGTATTATTGCTAGGTTACTATAAATAAATATTATTAGGACACAATTCAATTCCATTTAGCATAAAAATTGAACTATATATTTCCAAAGTAAACATAATCTTAAGAACAGATCAGAACTGCTTTGTATTCGATCATTTGCTAGTTCCAAGAGATATTTAATATATCATTAGTTTTCTTCCAGTGTTTCAAACTTTATCAGATAAAAGGCACATTGAAGGGATTTGGTTTTATCTTTCATACATTCAATAAGTACAGTTTTCCAACATTCTGTAAAACCTTTGTGCTTTATGTGACCTTATTTTCATAAATAAAATATGCTGTGTGCCCATATGAAAAATATAGAAAATTGAAAACTTGAGATCAAACCAAATAGAGGATTATTCTATGAGATACTGGGGTTTTTGAGAATAGCAATGATTTTTTAAAAATGAAGCCAGTCTGTAGCATGTGTTATGGGCCCAATGCTCCCCACTTCCTAGTATATTTTTTCCCTTGTGAAATCTATTCACCTAGACCTAGTGACTTGCACTCAATTAATTGAACACAGAAAAAATGATGAATGTCACTTGTGAGATTTACTCTTGCTCTCTTAATTGCTTTTTTGGAGGGAAGCCAGTAACCATATTTTTAGCTATACTATGGAGAAATCACATGGCAAAAAAATGAACCGAGGGAAGATTCCAGTTAACAGTCAGTAAAAAGCTAATGTCTACTAGCAGGCATGTGAGTGAACTTGGAAATGGATCTTCTGAAGCCTGCCAATAGTCATTTGAATCATCTTGAAGGCAGATCCTCTCCCAGTTGACCCTTGAAATGACTACAGCCCTGGTCACCAACTTCATTCCAACCTTCTGAGAGACATAGCCCAGGGACACAAAGCTAAGCAACACTGAGATTCATGACCCAGATATGTTTTTTAGTTTCTAAGTTTGGGGGTTAATTTGTTACACTGCAATTCTCACTGATGACTCACTCACATGAGAGAACTAGTTCATAGACAATGGCATCAAATACCAAGGTTCATTTCTGCACTAAAGAGAATGAAGCTTCAGCAATTTTATTCAGTGTTTTGTACCAAATAAAGAGAAAGACATTTAATGCAGATTTCTGTATATATCAGTATTAGCTCATTTGTTTTAACTGAGAGTTTAGCTATTTTAGGGCAATCTTAATTGTTTGGGTATTCTATTAATAATGTCTTGGCTCATTTATTGTAAACATGCAAAAAGAGGCTAATTTTTTGAGGAATAATGTGGTTATTCATAAATAGATAAATAGACACCTGAAAAAGAGCTTGATAATACCTACCTTCTAACTTTCTTTTACTAATCACTTGACCAAAACTGAGGTTTCTCAGGAGAAAATAAAGATAAGCAAATATTCATTACAACTTTGGATGATCAGATATTCTAGTTTGCACAAAATGACTCAGACAAATGCCAGAAACACACTGGGAGCCTGTGACCTTTCAAAGGTGCTTTGCTCACCAAGTAGTGTGTATCTATTGTAAAGTGTTTGTGTAGCTTTGAGAATCACCAGTGCAGAAATGGCCTGCCTGGCTCTTATCATCAGATCCTTATTATTTTTAATAGCTAGGTTTTCTAACAACCAATGTGCATATTCACTTCCAATTGAGATTTTATCATCAGACTTGGCTTAAGGAAAGTCAGTTATTTTGAATCCTATTCATTGCAGTCTCTACATCTCATTGCTGTGATATTGGGCACCAGTTTTATTTTCTCAGTTTTTACTTTGTGCCTACATTCTTCCTCTACCCAAAGTCTTTTCAGTTTTCAAACTGTATCATAAATGTTTGTATGCATTGTGTAAACTTTTGTCACCTTTTTATCTACCCCTCCATGCAAAAAGAATTACTAATTTGTCAATACCAAGACATGTTTTTAAACTCCTTGGGGACAGAGGAAATTACTGAATCAATTAAAAGTCTGGAGTACATTCAATTTGGTTCAAATGCAAAGGGTTTCTCTGATGACACGTTTTAATTCTATTTCTCTCTTTGACACTGCATTTCTTTCCCTTTTATTTTCCTGATTTTTTTTCCTACACCACTGTGTGATTTTGTGTAAGAATACCCACTAGATGAGCCTTCTTCTGGAAATATGCATCCACTTGTATTTTCAATGCACAAAATTGGGATCCCTTTCATGTGTCTATTGTGACACTTCAGTGACCTAAATGCTTGGGTATATAAATTAACCACTGACAACTCTCTGTCTTTTCCTATCAGTTGCCATAAACTACCTAATTACTAAACCTGATCCTGTTGTTTTTGGCCCAAGGCTATCCTGAGCTATGCTGTCTTTATCTGTTCAGTAACTCTCTACCATCAGCTGATTGCTTTTCCTGGTATGTAGTAATTATTATATCTGGTTTTCCATAGGCATTGAACCAACATATTTTCCAAAAATTACTTGAGTGACTGTTCACCTCCCTCTAATTTTCTGAGTTTATCTTTCTCAGAGCACCAATACTTTCACCAAAAAATGAAGGGTTAAAAACTCTAAGTATATACAGTTTTATTAAGAATAATTGAAGTAACCAAAAAACATGTCTTAGCTATTTTTAAAATTGGCACATTAAAAATGCCAAATGCCTTCCAATTCGGCAATTAGGTTATAAAAATTAAATCATGAGCCTTATATTTTACATCAGTTTTTTTTTTCTCAGTAGGGAATATTGCAATTGACATTTAGGCAAAATAAGAAAGAGTATATGAGGCATGGGGCAGCACAAAGAAATAATTTATTATCAAGCATATTATATTACACACTCCTCTAACATTAAATTAAAACATAGTTTATGAAGAAATATGAAGTGAGGGATTTTACATGCTAGAAGAATTAGGCGAGAAGAAACATTATGGAATCATACATGTGAGTGTGTGTGTGAGTGTGTATGTGTGTGATGATACATAAATAATTTACAATAGAAGTGTAAAGGTCGGGTGAGCGTCGGAGGAAGAGACCACCAAGAGACTGTCTCATGCAACAGCAAAGGGTTTATTGGGGGTCCAGCATGCTGGGGCTCAGAGCTCACTTGAATAGAGCAAAGAGCCCTGAGAACAGCTTAAGCAGAGCTTATATACTTTCCTTGGAGAGGGCAGGGAGGGAAGTTCATTGATGGGTCAGGGTGAGTGGGCGGTTTGCCTGCAACTGAGTGAGGGAGTACATTCTGCAGTTTGGCAGTTGGGGACAGCACATTCTGGGAACAAGATTAGCAAAAAGTTCTCAAGATTTCAACAGTGTTTTGTTAAGCATACAGAAAAACAGAGTGACAAGTACCTATTTTATTAACCTTTCATTCCCCACTTCTTCTTCTGGCTACTTTTAATCATAAAAGTGATCATTGGGGGGTGTCACATTCTATGTCTGCTAGTGGGGTATATTGTTGTCTGATTACCATAAGTTTAACTTGTTCAATTTGAGCTTGGAGAAAGGAAACTACCCGGTTGAGCAAACAGGGTCCTACAGTTAGCAATAATATGAGGATTATTAATGGACCGGCCAGGGCTGATAAAAGCGTAATTAACCAGGGGGACTGTGTGAACTAAGACTCAAACCACCCTTTTTGGGTTTCTCTCTCTCATTGACGCTCTTCAAGGCGTCTTTTTAATTTACTCATAGATTTTTTTTTACAACTCCAATATGGTCAGCATAAAAACAACATTTTTCCTCAATGCAGCACAAAGGCCCTCTTCTCTCATGAAGAAGAGGTCCAACCTTCGCCTGTTCTGTAAAACAACTTCAGAGAGAGAGGTTAAAATTCCTGCAAAGCTGTGATGGAGGTTTCTAATATCTTTAAGTTTTGGTCTATTGCTGTTTTTCAATTGGGTCATTTGTTGTATCCCATGGACCAGGGCAGTGGTTCCTGTGCCCACCCCTGCAGCAACTCCTATTCCTAATAGGATGGCTAAAGTGAGGGATACAGGTTCCCAGCGGAACCGGGTTGTATGCCCCCCTATTTGATCTTCAAATGAACCTGCGTCATGATAGAGCACTCTGGGAAACATCTGCACCATTATATAATTAATTACATCTGTTGACCATTTTATGAAAACATAAACAATGTTTAAGTATATAGAATTATACTGTTGTAGGGACGGACAAGGCAAGGTACCTAAGATAGCACCGAAGACAGGGAAACGGTCCTATTTGGTTGCAATCGGATTCAGAGGGCATTGCTTCTGTTGTAATCAATTAATCCCCTGAACCCCAAGTTTAGGTAGTTTCAGAATTTTGTACCCAACATGTAAGGGAAGGGGCTCAGAAGTTCACAGTCTGCAGAAGTTTATAAAAAGCAGTTTTTGTTTGTTTTTTTCCTCTGTTCTGGACAAGTTAACTTTTTAAGGACATCTGGGAGGGGGAGAGCTTTTTTTTTTCCTTTCTTTTCTCCCCCTGCCAGCTGTTACCATGGAGCCCAGTTGGTAACTTCTTTATCTTAGAAATGTAGCCATCTCTGTGAAGCCCCAGCTCAAGGCCAGAGGCCTTGTTCACATATTTTGTGAAAAACTAGCAAGGGGGTGTCTAGCTTAGGAGTGCTGATTTTTTAGCCAGTGGCCAAGTAGAACAGGGCAACACGAAAAGAGGAAGTTTATCACACTGAACTCTTTTATAGGGACTCTTTTGCTGAAAGTCTTAAAGTTAGCCATGGTGAAGACTTCTGGAGAAGGTCAGTTAAGACTTTTCTGTGGGCCTGGTATAGAGGGGGAAGACGGGAAAGGCGGGGCTGAGAGCAGCTCCGTGGATCTGAGAATGAGGAAGGAGAGATGTAAAAGAATAATGGGAAAGGGGTTTGGGATTTTCCTAGCAACAAAAACTTGAGTAGTAGAACAGGTAGAGCAGAAGGGAAGATGGGAGTGAGTATCCCAAAAAGCCTGTGAGGGACTTTAAATTCTTAGTAACCTGTTTTCAGTGATGACAAAGCAACTTTAAAGGCCATTTTCATTACATCTTGGATAGGGGTCTGAGGGCTCTCCTCAGCTGGTTTGAGCTTTGGGTTAGCTGGTAAGAGGACCTGGTGGGACTCGGTGCGGGCACTGACAGGAGAAGAGAGGAGTGAGTGGGTGGAGGGGTACCTCAGTACTTGCTACCTCAGCAAGGGAGCAATGGTCTGAGAACCGGCAGAGGTTTGGGTTCCATTAGGCAGTCCCTGTATGCTCACATCCCCATGACTTACAGAAGAAGTCAGTTTTTCCCCCACACAGCCGTGACTGTTTGCGGCTTCAATAGTCCGCCGGGCAAACATAGTAATCTAGGCTAGCCAACCTACATCTGGCTTGCGTGTCTCTACATCCATAATGTTTGTTTCCATTATCTATGGTATGGAAGGGATTTAATGAAATTTTAGTGGGATCCTCTTCATTGGGGATATCCCAATAGGAAAGACCCATAGCCAACTGACAAATGTCTGGGTGGAGAGATGGCCACCAGGTCCCTAAAGGAGCTGTATGCGAGATAGACCATACTTCCTGTCCAGTAGGATTTGTGATCAGCCATCGCTGCTGAATGGGCTGATGAGGGTTAGGACTACTGGTGGTCAAGGGGAGAGTCCATAGCCCTATCCACACGGCAAATACGCAATTTGAGAGGGTTACCAGTCTTTTCCAATTTCCAGCCAGAGTCTGGACAGGGCACAGGCTTGCGATGAGAGGCATGGATCCAGGAAGTGGTTCCGTCTACCTTTACCGCTGTAGGTGTTATAAGTAGCACCTGGTATGGTCCTTTCCAGAGGGGTTCCAGGGATGACACCTGATGTCGTCTTACGTAGATGAAGTCTCCTAGTTGATATCGGTGTGGAGTCCCTTCGTCCCCAGGTTGGTAGGCAGTGGCCAGCTGTTTTTACAGGTATGGCTGAGTTCTTTCAAGAGCTTTAAGTCTGTCAAGCAAGGGGGTGTGGAAGGGATCCTTAGGTCTTAGAGTTGGGGTTAGGTCCCTTACTGGAGGAGGGGCACCATAGAGAATTTCATAGGGGGTGAGGTTACACAAAGAAACAGAGGGAGTATTTTTTTTTTTGCACAAAACAGTGCATAAGGCAGGAGCATAGTCCAATCTTTTATGCCGGTCTCTAAGCTTAATTTCATTAAGGTCTCTTTAATGGTTCTATTCATTCTTTCTACCTGTCCTGAACTCTGGGGTCTATAAGCACAATGTAACTTCCAATTAATCCCCAGGGTCCTGGCTAACCCCTGACTTACCTGGGCCATGAACGCCGGTCCATTTTCAGACCCTATTACCTTAGGCAGGCCGTATCTTGGAAAAAATATCTTCCAGGATCTTTTTGACCACCATTTGCGTCGTTTTTTTTTTGTGTGTGTGGGGAAGGCTTTAATTCATCCTGAAAATGTATCTACAAAGACTAGGAGATATTTAAGTCCATACCTTGCTGGCTTAATTTCAGTAAAGTCCATTTCCCAGAATTGTCCTGGTCTGGTTCCTCGTAGGTGCTTTCTGAAATTGCAGGCTGGGCTCAGTGAAGTCGAGGAGTTCAGTGTCAGTGTCCTTAGATGTTAAGTTGTCGGGGTGCTCCGACGTAGTTAAATCTCCTGACTTATGTTCCCCCGGTGTGGAAAGCGTTAACATGGTTACTCTGTTTAGGGCTGCCAATTTAGCCTCTTCATCCACCCTCCTGTTCCCGACCGCTACAGGATCGTTTCCTTTCTGGTGTCCTGGACAGTGCACTATAGCTAGTTCCCTAGGGCTTTGCACTGCTGAGAGGAGGCGGAGGATCTCATCTCTGTTTTTTATTTCCTTTCCCGCCGAGGTTAATAGTCCCCTTTGCTGGTAGATAGCCCCGTGTATATGAGCGGTAGCGAAGGCATAGCGGCTATCTGTGTATATGGTGGCCTTTTTGCCTGCCACTAGCTCTAATGCCTTCGTGAGGGCGATCAGCTCTGCCTTTTGAGCTAATGTTCCCTCCAGGAGGCTTGAGGACCAGATGACTTTAGTTCTGCTAACTACTGCTGCCCCAGCCCGCTGCTTACCGTCCTGGAGGAAGCTGCTGCCATCAGTGAACCATATGACCTCAGGGTGGGGCAGTGGCTGATCCTTTAATTCCCGTTGTATACTGGTTTCTTCTGCCAGTATATGTTGACAGTCATGAGTGACGGGTCCTGATGATTGTTCAGGTAGTAGTGTAGCCGGGTTAAGCGGGGCGGGGGGGTCCCAGCATTATTCTCTCCTTGTCAAGCAACAGGCTCTGATAGTGTGTTATTCTAGAGTTTGATAACCGTCTGTCTGGTGGCTGGTGGATGATGCTCTCTAGGGAATGGGGGGCTATAATGGTTAGTTTCTGCCCCAGCGTTAACTTATCAGCATCCTTGATTAGTAGGGCCACAGCTGCTATAGCTTTTAGGCAATGGGGCCATCCACCAGCCACTGGGTCCAGCTTTTTAGACAAGTAGGCTATAGGTCTTTTCCAGGGTCCTAGAGTCTGAGTGAGCACTCCTCGTGCTATTCCTTTCTTTTCCTCAATGTAGAGAGTAAAGGGTTTTTCTACATCCGGGAGTGCTAAGGCCGGAGCAGATAGCAGCGCCCTTTTGATGTTATCAAAAGCTTGCTGGTGCTCAGGGGTCCATTGGAATTGGGCATCTCCCTTTAACAGCGGGTATAAAGGAGCAGCTAAGGACGCAAACCCAGGTATCCATAACCTGCAAAAGCTAGCAGTCCCAAGAAACTCTCTGTTAGATGGGGGTGGTATCTGCACAACAGTTTGTTTTCTGGGCTCAGTGAGCCATCGTTTACCGCCCCTAAGGGAATAGCCCAGGAAGATTACTTCTTGCTGGCAAATTTGGGCCTTTTTGGCAGAAGCTCTATACCCAAGTTGAGCAAGCTCGGATAATAGTGCTTGGGTTCCAGACTCACAGTTTTCCTTGGTGTCAGCTGCCAGTAGCAGGTCATCCACATATTGAAGCAGGGTGACTTCAGGGTGCGTAGTTCTGAAGTTGTTGAGATCTCTGTGGAGGGCTTCATCAAAGAGAGTGGGGGAGTTTTTGAACCCCTGTGGGAGTCTAGTCCAAGTTAGTTGACCAGACGTTCTGGTTTCTGGGTTTACCCACTCGAAAGCAAACAGCAACTGACTATCTTTATGCAGAGGCAAGCAAAAGAAAGCATCTTTTAAATCCAGAACAGTATACCATTTTTGCTCAGGGTTTAGAGTGTTAAGCAGATTGTATGGATTAGGTACCGTGGGGTGAATGTCCTACACTCTGTTGTTGATCTCTCTTAGGTCTTGTATGGGGCAATAGTCCCCGGTTCCTGGCTTTTTTACTGGTAGCAGGGGAGTGTTCCAGGCCGATTGACAGGGCCTTAGGACCCCTAAGGCCAGATATTTCTGAATATGGGGCCTTATCCCATCTTTAGCTTCTTTTTGTTCAGAGGATATTGTTTGACATTGATTGGGGAGGCTGAGGTTTTTAACTCCACTGTTATTGGAGGTTGTTTCACGGCTAGGCCTAACCCAGCAGTTTCTGCCCAGGCATCTGGGTAATCTGTTATCCATTTCTGGGGTAGCTTGCCTGTTTGATCAGTCTTGGGGGGTGTGAAGAGTTGATGTTCATCTTCTACTGACATAGTTAAAGCCATGACTATAGGAGTTTTTACTGAAGGATTTAGAAATTTCATTTGGGGGCCTTCAGGGTTAAAAGTTATTTTGGCCTGGAGCTTGGTGAGCAGATCTCTGCCCATCAATGGGGCCGGGCATTCTGGGATTACTAGTAAGGAGTGATGGATTTTTCTTTTCCCCAGGTCCATGGTCTTCTTAGTTGTCCAAGCCCGATATTTACTGCTGTTAGCCCCTTGAATTAGAGACCTTTTATTTGATAGAGGGCCCAATGGGGCCTTAAGGGCTGAGTATACTGCCCCTGTATCCACTTCAAAGTTTACTGGGGTCCCCTCCACTTCAAAAGTTACCCTGAGCTCGGGGAGGGGATCTGAGCCCCAACTTTCCTAGTCATCCTCCAGAGTTAGAATGGCTGGCTGGCGTGGCTGTCTCTTTCTAGGGCACTCTTTGGCCCAGTGTCCTTTTTCTTTACAGTAGGCACATTGATCTGAGGCCAGAGGTGGCCTCTGGCGTGGGCCCAGGTATCACTTCCTGTCTCCCTGTTTAATTTCTGGCCTATTTGTTGTTGTGACCAGGACCTTAGTCAATGCCTTAGTCTGTCTTTTGCTTCTCTCATCCTCCCTTTGCTCCTTCTCTTCCTCAGTTTCTCTCTTATAGTATACCTTCTCGGCTTCTCTGACCAAATCTCTCAAAGTCATATCTTGTAATCCATCTAAGCATTGTAACTTTCTTTTAATATCCAGGGCAGCTTGCCCAATAAAGTCCATCGTGACAGATGCCTTTTGATCCTCTGCCTGAGGATCGAAAGGAGTATATCTCCTATATGCCTCCATAATTCTCTCTAGAAACATAGAGGGAGATTCATCAGGCCCTTGAATAATCTCTCTTACCTTGGCCAAATTAGTTGGTCGCCTAGCGGCCGCTCGGAAACCCACTATTAGAGCCCGGTGATAAGTAGACAGATGTTCCCTACCTTCAGAGGTGTTGGGGTCCCAGTTGGGTCGGTTCAAGGGGAAGTCGGCTTCGATTATGTTGGGAAGTTGTGTCGGTTGCCCGTCTGGTCCGAGGATATTTTTTTCTAGCTTCCAGGAGGATTCTCTCTCGTTCCTCTGTCATGAAGAGAGTGCCTAGGAGTTGTTGGCAGTCATCCCAAGTAGGCTGGTGTGAAAACATCAATGACTCAACCAGACCTGTGAGCCGGGTGGGGTCCTCGGAAAAAGGGGGATTGTTATTTTTCCAGTTATATAGGTCTGAAGAGGAGAAAGGCCAATACTGGTAGGCTTGCATTTCTCCTCCATGGCCATTGTCAATCATTGGCCCATAAGGACGGAGGGGGAGTATCACGGGGGCTTCAGGGTTTTTATTCATTCGCCGCTGGCGAGTTTCTTTAGCCGGGCCAGCTTCCTCCAGGGGAGGAGGGGCTGTGTGTGCCATGGGGAAGTCATCTAGAGGGCGCTGGGCCGGCTCAGCTTCCTCCAATGGTGGAGAGGCTGAGTCAGCAGCAGGGGAATCACTTAGAGGGTGTTGGGGGTTGGGGGACAAGGGCAGGAGATAAGGAGGGGGAGGAGAGTCCAGTAGAGTCAAATCTAGAGACTCAGGGAGAACAGAGGGTGGAGGAGGAGGAGGAGCAGAAGGTTTGAGAGATAGAATCTTGGGGGAAGGAATAGGAGCGGGGGCAGGGACAAGGACAGGCTTCACCCATGGAGGAAGAGATTTGCAGAGGTCTTGCCAAGTTAAGATATACGGCTGTTGATCTGGATGGCTATGTAGCCCCGGCTGAAAGACAATATCTCTGACTTTTTGAATTAGTGGGGAGTAGAAAGATCCTCCTGGGGGCCATCCGACTCCAAAGGTGGGCCATTCTGAGGCACAGAGAGTCTGCCAGGTCCGGCGTTTTACTGAAAAAGAAAGATTCTGAGCCCTTAAGCGGACTTTGGTCCAGTGATCAAGGGTCAGGGACAGAGGCATTGAAGTGCTCTGTCCCATAATGAAAGATACACAAACAGTGAAGCAATGACACACGACACAGACAAGACAAGACAATAAAGACAGGCAATGGACGTCCAACACTGAGACCAGGACTGAGTAGCCGGCAAAACCCGATAGGCTGGCAATGCCGAATCAGAAACAAAATATCACTGAGTCGAGGAGACTATTGTTCCTCGATTTCCCGAGTCCTCTGGGGCGTCCCCCAGGGACGTGGTCTGTGGCTCTGTGACACGTCTGTCAGCCACTGTCGGAGAGAGCTCATGCTCTTCACCGACAGCAATTTTGCCAAGCCCTATCCTGAAACCTGAAACCAGAAACCAGAAAGAGGCGCCTTACTTACCCCGAGAGGAGCCCATTGGGGGTCTTTCGTCCGCCACTGCCGGATCTCAGTGGAACCTCCATATGTAAAGGTCGGGCGAGCGTGGGAGGAAGAGACTACCAAGAGACTGTCTCATGCAACAGCAAAGGGTTTATTGGGGGTCCAGCATGCTGGGGCTCAGAGCTCACTTGAATAGAGCAAAGAGCCCTGAGAACAGCTTAAGCAGAGCTTATATACTTTCCTTGGAGAGGGCAGGGAGGGAAGTTCATTGACGGGTCAGGGCGAGTGGGCGGTTTGCCTGCAACTGAGTGAGGGAGTACATTCTGCAGTTTGGCAGTTGGGGACAGTACATTCTGGGAACAAGATTAGCAAACAGTTCTCAAGATTTCAACAGTGTTTTGTTAAGCATACAGAAAAACGGAGTGACAAGTACCTATTTTATTAACCTTTCAGAAGACCACATTTTTTTTTGCAAAAATTCCTTGGACATCTCAGGTAAGATCTCTCCCTGATTCCAAAAGGATAAAAAGGTAAATATATTAAGTTCCATGAGACTGAAGTCAAGGAAATGTGACTGGTGAGTCCTTGAGATTTGTTTTCAAACTGTTATAGTTAAAGCTTTGTCCCAGGGTTTCATAAACTGACTTCCAGACCACTCACATATAATCGAATCAAGCCTTTATTGAAGCACACCGGTGGCGGCTGACCAGAACATAAAGCTGTTCCCCTGATCAGCCCCGAACAATTGCAAGGGCACTCTTTATAAGCCTGAAAACCGCAAAAGGGATGTTCGGGGGTCTAGCCAATGCAAGCAAGCCAGGTTACAGAAGCGGGACAGTGCAGTCAAGCAGAGGGAAGCCTAACCAATCACAGTTAGCTCAGTCACCCCAGTTACAGAAACAGAGCCCCGTTACCCTAGTTACAGAAACAATACCCTATTAGGTAGTTCCGTGTTCTTAAAGGTTTCTATAGCAAAAGGAAAAGAACATCTTGCTCCAGTCATGACTCTTCTACTTGGCATGGTTGTTTTACAGGATGAAGTCATAAAACAAAATGGAGTCACATTTGCTCCTACTATCACAAAACTATGTTCCTGCAGATAACATGCCTTCTCCATCTACCATGCTCAGTGTTCTAGGACAAGCCATGATTCCAAGAATGGCATGAGTTGGAGGACAAATTTCACATGTAGGGAAGTAAGAGAAAGCTCACACACTTCTCAGAGCTCCATTGCCAAAGGAAATTCCTGATATCCAGAGGAATCACATGCAGGCTTAATTAGCTTTGTATGGAACCTTGAAGTCCACCATGTTTCTATAATAGCATGGGCTTAGTTTCTGAATTGGAGACAAGGCTAGCCTTTTCATTCTCTGTAGTAACACTTGATAACACTCTCTGGCAATGCCCAGACATGGCAAAAATGACACACATGCTTCTATGAATTCAAAGAAATCTCAGAATTCCCTTCAAATTTTAAACTACTTATGCCTTGCCAGAGGGACAAAGTATATTTCACTCCATAAACAATACTTTCAGTAGTATAATTTTCATAGTAACCTATGTTTCTTTTCAGTATTTCAGTCATATTCCTCACTATAGCATTTACCACATTATTTACAAAAATTACTTTTGTATCTCAGGTAAGAAACTGAAAACTCTCAGGTATGGACTATATCGCATTAATTTTTCTACTGCTGACACCTAGTCTTTTCCCTACATAGAATAGGGACCCAATATTTCTTTAGAAAGACCAAATCAATGAATGGCTATGGAATACAGGCCAAACTATCCCCATAGATATTTATTTATGTATTTGCAAACTTTACATACATTGATGTTTCTACAACTAATGTGACTCTGACACTGGAAGTATTTATTTTCTTTGAGAAAGTTGTTTATAAATGGCTAGTGGTTTGTATCCAGTATAATTAATGCAAATCTAAATAAATGGAGGAGAGAGATCCAATGACTAATGAGTGTTTCCATTTTGAGATTTTGTAAATATGAGAGTATTTATTATACACATAGTTTTTGCACATTTGCTTAATTGCATATGACAGCACTTTTTAAGCTATTGAATCCCTCACAAAACATAAAATTAGAAAGATTCACAATTCATCTACAAAGTTTGATCAATTTGAGGTGACCATTGCAAGTGAAAAGAACAAAATATAAAAGCAGATGATTAAACAAAGATAAGTTGTAGGTACCAACAATCTAAACTTTAAAGATCTATATGAATATTTTCAAATTTTGAGGAACAGTGTTGTAATTATCTAGGAATTTTCAACTAAAGCCCTTATTCAGTGTTTAGAATGCATTGTGTATGAATTATTCAAATATTCATTTCCATAATTTGTTATATTTTTACATTTGACATTTATAACTAGTATAAGCAAATAAATAATATTTTCCTTTCTTACTGTATTTTTTCTCAAGAAATAATTTCTTATTAAAATAATGTTACTAGAGGAGTTATTAATGAGTTTCATTATAATGCCATAAAGTAGATATAATACTTTTAATTTTACATATATCCATGAGTCAACTCTATTTATAACTATATGTACATAAAATATATGCCAGAATTATACATTATGCAACTCATGTATAAATTATTTCTAAACAATAAGCATGGAAAACATATTAGAAGAAATTCTTAAAACTTATGAAACTCTCTAAAGGACAAAATAAAATGCAAATTAAATGCATAGTTAATGTATTTTGAAAGTAATAAAACTGTAGTTAGAGGATTAAGAAAAATTTCCATTGAGTTTTACTGTGACAACAAAAAACAAATTTTCATGCTTTATTACATTGTGGGCATTCTAATTCATTGGGTAATTTTAAATTATGGGATTAAATAGTATTAATTACAGAGTAATAATTTGGTTTCATGAGATTTTATTTTTCTTGTAGTATTCAACTTTATTCCCATATACAGATACAGTTGTCAATGACAAAATGCTGTAAAACTACAGAAGCTTCCCAGTGAATACTTTCCATTTTGTTTCAGAAATAATAACAAATGAAATCTGAAAAAAAAAAAGAAAATGAACATTTCCCTCATTTCCATCTTGTCATTTTCTCTACTGGTGGAAATTTTATTTAATTAATGCATTTTTTCCGAGGCTTAGCTCACATACTATATCTTTGATTTCATCCATCCATATTTCTTCTTCCATTTTTCTCCATTCTCTACATGTGTATATCATCTTAAATGACTTTTGCTGAGTACTTTGCTTTCTTCATCATGTAGTTTCTATCTCTCCTGACCAGGAAATAACACATATCAAAATGTCAGGGCCAACTCTTTTTTGATATTCCCACAGTTACCACACTGTATTACACAGAGTTAATACAGTGAACTTTGGTTGGATTATTACTATTGTCTTTCTTTTTCCATCAGCACTGATGTGAATAACATAAATTGTGCATATAATCTTGAGTAATACAGAAGAAAATTAACACAAGACTTCTTTCTTCTTGGAAGACAAAGTACAAAGGAAATTGTTGACAGTATCATGATAAGCTTCATTTAAAATAAAAATAGTATTACGATGCTAATTACCCATTAATTGAAAAAGCCAGCATACCAAACTCTATTTATGCTATGATTAAAACTATACTGTACATATATTATAATATATTATATATAAAATATGTATATAATATAATATATATAGTGCATATAGAAACTTGTGAGTGTGCGTTTTAAAGATTTATACTATGTTATGATAACATATGGAATGTCCTCCAGAGGCTCATGTGTAGAAGGTTCTACCCCAGTGCAGCAATGTTCAGAGTTGGGGCTTTTGAGAAGTGATTGGATCATGAGGGCTCTAACCTAATTCAGTGGATTAATTCATTGATGGATTCCTAGCTACGTGGACTTTCAGGAGACAGTGGCAACTGTGAGAGATGGGACCTAATTACAGAGAGTGGATTCTTCAGGGAAGGCCTTGGAGAGTACATCTTGTCCCATCTCTATTTATTTATCTGCTTCCTGGCTTCCATGAGGTGAGCAGCTCTCTTCTCCCAGTCCTTTCTATTATGATATTCTTACTCACGTTAGGTCCAAAGCATTTGGAGCTGGCTGATCATGAATAAAACCTCTGAAAGTGTAAGACAAAATAAACCCTTTCTTCTTTAAATTTTTCTCAGATATTTTGTCACAGCAATGAAAAGTTAAAAACACATGAGTCTCTGTAAGTTGTTGACTTTTTCTTGAATGTTAAAATGTGTGTATACTTTAAAGTATATTTATAGTCCATGAACTAAGTCCATATAAACATCCAAAGAAGCCTATCTTCATACAATACTAGGTTTGACTCTTCCAGTTCAGGCAAATCCTCTAAAACAAATTATATTCCTTTAGGTATAAAATATGTGGTATGTGACCAAGGCTTTGTACAATATCTTATTATCACATAATTGTGTTTCAAATACAATAATTTTCAAATCATAACCTAATCTCTTGCAGTAAAAAAAAAATAAAACTCAATATACCAATTCAGTTGCCAAGGTAACAAGAAGACATCTCAAAAAATCATATATGTTTTATAGACATATGGTTATTAATATCAGAAAAGTTTGAAGAAAAAAGAAGGAAATTAAAAAAACTAAATTTGGGTAAGAAACACAACTAAAATGTTATGAGTAAAAATCATGTAAAAGGCCCACTAAATATAACAAATGAGATTAGTACTATTTTCAGATATCAAAATTAACAAAAGTTAGAAGCTCTAAGTCTTAATCAATAGTATAGATTTCTTTATTTATGAAAGTACAGTACAGTGGATCAAAACAGATAAGAGTTAAAAAAAATTGGCTGCCTGTATGATAAGACTGCTGTATTTTAATATATGATTATCTCCAATTGACCTGGTGTTTTAGTTTTCCAAAACTGCTGTCACAAAACCCTTATGTACTAAGATGCCTTTGGCAGCAGTGGTGGATATATAGCTATTCATTTCACCACTAGAGTAAAGACCAAATAATTTAGTGAAATTGATGTAGGGCTGTGTCTGGGTCAGGTAACCTCAGTGACTGGTTAATTCACAGGTAAAAGGGGAATGAAGAAACATAAATTTCATGGGGATATAATGTCAACAAAGGTGGAATATGGCCAAGTGGGTGATATTCTTTTTTAAAAAGTATGAAGACAGTTTCAAAATAGCCACCCATATAAAAAAAATAGTTATGATAAAGTAGTAATCTTACTCCCCTATAAAATGGGAATTATAAGGCCTATCATGTGTCCTGAGAAGAATAATAAGCCATCAGAATCTGTGAGAGTGCTTCATGCTTTGTTGTTGTTTTTATTTTGTTGTTCAAAATAGGTAATAGAAAAACCAACAGGGATTCTTTAAAAACACATTAATCTTGATAACAGGTTCACAAGGTTGGTTTTAAACAAAGTTAGTCAGAGACTTTTCCATTCAAGATAAGACATTTAAGAAAGAACATTTGGCTACTCCAGGATATTTATTTCAGGCCCTAACTCTGAAGGTGGCCTCACTTTCCTTACCTTTTATGCCTGCCTGATAGCAAAATTTGTAATCTCCTCATTTTCCCATCCGGGATCTCACTGTAATGTCTTTCTCTACCTTTCTGCTTTTTTTAAACTAAAACATTACGCATCAGAAATTCTTTCAAACCACAAATATTCATTGATTGTTCCAATGCACAGTTATAGTGATAAATGAAGCCAATTCATGAAGGTAACAATCAAATATGGAGGGAAATTTAAACAAATGATCACAAAAAATATGTGATGAATAAAATAAAATAGTGGTAAAAGATGCCATATGTTTGGAGACCTACCTGCTACCATAAACTTTGGAGAATTCCCTGGGCACCCACATAGCTTTATTTGGCCTTCCAATATGGGCACAGTCTAGTGTTTATCAGCAGAAATACTACT